TAGAATTAGTTCTTTTCTTTTTTACTTTAAACAATTCATTTGTTTCCCATTTTAATTTAAATTGTTTTATGAAGGATTTGAATAAAACATTGATTTTTCTGTTGTTTATTATTAAAATTTATTATATATATATATATATATATATATATATATATATATATATATATATATATATATATATATATATATATATATATGTATATATATATGTATGTATATCAACCCTTAAAATTAGGGTCGGCATTCGGCACTGCCAACCTAACTGCTGACTTGAAAGTGTTTGAAGTTGGCAAAAAAAATTACTGATCTCGTTTCTATGTTTTATGGTCAGACCTTTGACCTGAGCATCCATGTTCTTAAATCTCTTAAACAAAGGATAGTTGAGCCAAGTATCTCAAAAGATAACTTTGTTTTTAATCACGTCATAGCAATTGAGTATTTTTTGTTTTGTTTTTCTGCTAGTTTCTTGGCTAGCCTTCTAACAAACTTAAGACATTCTTTACCCATACCTCCATTTGTACCAAACACTAGTGGTGTTAAACTGCCATGTTCGACTTCACAAACTTGTTTGCCATACTCTCTTTTTTTTCCCTTTTTTTTGTGTTTTCTGAATATAGCAGCTATATCTAGATTTTTGTTGCTCATGGAATTGACATGCGCAACTCTTACGTCAAAAAATGCTGTCTGTCCATTTCGCTAAAAACCATTTGCTTAATATCCAAATGAGCTTGGTTACTTTTATTTGCTGTATGGAAATAAAAATTCTTATTATCAAGGGGTATGAGGTGTGGTTCAGATTGAACATTTATGCACACTTTTTTAAGCAATGTAGTGAATAAATTTCTTATGTTATCATGGCAACTTGAAATGAAGCCACCTTTCTTACATGTCAAAGCATGAGTAATATTGAAAGGTTCTCCACATTCACAATTACGAGGGATATTTTTCAAGTCCAAATTACTTATTTGGTTTTCTAGCGGTAAGGCGTTTATCCAGTTGCTTGAACATTCACTTTTTGTTTGCTGTATATTTCTTAACATAACTCTGGTTGCATCGAATCAACTGCGATTATTTTCTCGTTGCGATGCTTAAGTCTGTCAGTAGATGATACTTTTTCAAGATCTTCTAGAATGTTCCCAGTAGAGTTTTTTGTTTTTAAAATTGTGTTTTGATCTATAATTAGCTGTACAAGATTTTTAGTTGAAACTGGTGAGGTGCTTCTTCATCTCGATCTTTTACATTAACTCCTCCATCTCGAGGAGTTAATGTAAAAGGTTTTCTAATGTGATTCTCAAAGGGTGTATCTTTTCCAAAAAGTATTTTGTTAATGGGCGCTAGATATTGTTCAAATTTTGGAATAGTTCTTAGAAAATAAGTAAATTTTGAACGAAATCCTTTTGTGAATGCAATAAAAGTGGCTTGTGGTTGCGTCTCTGCTACTTTACAAAGTTGTTTTAACTCGCTTAACTATTTTGCAAATTTTTCATTGCAATATTTCTCCTTTAAATTTTGCAAACCAATTACTGAACCCAAATGTCGTTGACCCTCTGTGGTTATGTTGAATGATTTACCAAATACTATGTCTGCATTCTCTGCTAATGAGGGAGATTTTACAATTAACCAGCATTTAAATTGGTTTACGTAGTAGCCATGTTTAAAATTTAAAACTTCAACTCCAACGAAAGTTATTTACTTCAAACAACTACAGCAATACTGTCAACATTCCTATAATTATGGATGGCAATCCTCTCACTAAGTTCACTTTTCATTGTCATCTTAGATTATTGTTCACTACTGAACTCTCATAACCAATCTATAATAGCTAACAAGGTTAAAAATATTTATGAGCCATTTCAAGTATTTATACATTTTAATATAAAATACTTACAATTTAATTTTGATATATTTATTTACATTAAATGAAAAAAACTTTTATTTTAAAATTTCTTATATATTTTTTTAAAGCTCATATAATAGACTATAATTTCTTAATAAATTGTATTCTATTTTAATTAAAAAAAATAAAAATGAAAAGGTTATCAAACCTTGAATTGTCAAATCCAATGATTTATATGCAAAATTTAAAGAACTGTTTGCATAACAAGTGTATTTACCGCTAGAATTTCGTGATACCTGCATAATACTAAGAGAAATACATTTATTGGATAAAGCTGTATTTAAATTTTCTTTTCCATTACTATACCAACTTAAGTTTGCAATTGGTACACCAAGATCAGTTGTGCAGCATTGAACAGTAAAGTTTTGTGATATCTTGACATTAACAACATCTGGTATGTTATTAGAAAAATACAGTGCATTAGGAGGATCTATAATAAAAATATAAGTTTAATAAGTTATTATTAACAGATATTTATAATTACTCTATTTTATCCTGTTTAAACCTAACATTTTTACCCTAATTATATTTTATTAAAGCAGAAAATAAAGTCTTTTTTTAAAAAATCTTTATTACCTATATCAAGAAAATATCACATTAAAGTATTTACAATTATTGTACTTTCAAATAATCCTAAAATAATTACAAGAGAATTTTACTTATTAGTGTGGCAAAATTAACAAAAACTTTGACCGAATTTTTATTTGTTTATGAATTCAATTTTGCCAAAAAGTTTCATACCATTGATGTCTAGAAAATTCTTTGAATAACTTCATAGATAGTTTTAAAGTTTTAAGTTTATTTTAACATTATTTTAATGAGGTAGTTAATGTTTCAAAAATCACAAACCATTTGAAAAAAAAATTAATATTACAAATACATGCTCAATTAACTACAAATTATTATAATAACATGCTTATTATTTACAAATGTAATAATAAATAATAAACTCAAATATAATGAAAAAAATTCAGTTTGGATTCTTATAAAACTAACTTTTTTTTACCGAAATATTGTAATAATCAAAATATTCAGCTCCTTCAAGAAAAACTTGCTTATTAAATTAATACAACAGAAATAAACAAAATTAATCAAAAGCTAAAATAATTTAGCAACATGTAAATATTTATTTAAACAATGTTAGTTTTGTAAGTTATATTTGTATCAGGTATTAAAAATACAGTGACAACTGACAATAAATCATTAAAATTTTTTACCCTTAACTAACTTAGCTTGACTTTAAAAAATTTAGTTGTTTGGTTTTTATAAAATGACTGATTTTGTCATTTGAACAACTCAAAAGTTCTTTAAATCATATAGGCTTAAAATAAGCTAAATTCTTTAATGCTTCAATGTTTGATCATACTATAATAAGAAGAAATCTGTTATTCCACCTCTCTTGCATGGTTCAGATTTTTTTAACTCACCTAAAGACAAAGCTGAATGGAAAAAAAAAAAGAACTTCTCACCAACCTTTACTCTTGATTCAACTAATCACATCTTGATATTGTCAACAAACGTTTTGATATTGTCAACAAACGTTTTTTTTATAAATTGCTCAACAAATAGGTAAATCAATTGCTTAACATTTATACCACTCCAGCTTCTGTATTAAAAGTTTTTTTCCTGCTCAGGCTCTTCTAAGTATGTTAGATTTTATTTTATTCTGGAGAGCAATCTAAGTTGTCTAACTATTGTCAATTAGTCTTCTTCCTATCAAAAGCAAGGTTTTTGAGTCTTTAATTAACAAACACTTAATCTCTCATCTTAAATCTAATAACTGACTATCTTATGATTAATATGGATTTTGATTGTTTCGTTCTACAGCCAATAGATTTTATCAGCAAATAAAATTCAATCTTCTCAATCTATAGCCAAAAGGTAAAAGTAAATCATCAAAAAAAGCATTGTAAACGTAATATTATTTGGTATAACCCCCCATTCAGCTTAAATGTCAAAACAGAAATAGGAAACCGTTTTCTAGCCCTTATTGACTTACAATTTTCAAAAAATTCTTATTACCTTCATTTGACAAAGGGGACTAGTAAACTATAATGGCTTTTTGTATTTTGATTTGTTTTATACGTAGATTTGTTTAAAACGTCAGCAGTCATTCTACAGTAATTTTTACGTTTTTTTAACAGTTTATTTACATTTTTTGTTTGTATTAACGGCTGATGTTTGCCTTTGGGCATGAAACTTTAAGTCTCGCTAATCAGTTGTTTTTATTCATCTTAATAAAACATAATTATGCTTAATGGCAAAATAATCAGTGCTGCAACCAATAGGTAAGATGCAATCTTCTTAACTATTCTTGTCAAACAAACTATCACTTTCATCTAATCAAACCAGATTTAAACTACTCTTTCAGAAAGGGAGTAGAAAGGAAGCCTTTCTTATCTATTTTTTTAAATATTAAAAAGTTCAAAATTGTTCAAAGATGAATTGGCCAATTTTCTAAGAAACTTGTTTTGCTTTTAAAAATGTGTAATAAAAACGGTTTTAAAAATATACAAAGAAGTGCATTAATGTTTTTGAATAACATAATAACTTGTGTTAGCAATAGAAACATTATTTTTAAATATTTGATAAGTAAGATTTACAGAGGCATTTGTTGTGCAGCTAAATGTAACATTTGTGCCTTCAACAGGATTAGGATCTAGATTTGTAAAATATGGATGGATTGAAAATATGAGATCTCCGCATCCCTAAAAATTTAAAAACATTCACATGTTAGCAGTTTTCTATTTACACATAAATACACACATACCAATTTTCTAAAAAACTAGTTTTGTTTTTAAAAATGTGTAATGATAACTGTATTAAAATGTTTTAGAAATATATACAAAGAAGTGCATTAATGTTTATGAATTCGTTAACCATTGATTCCAGAACAGTTTAAAAACCTAAAAATAATTATGTCATTTGGACTCAACCACATTTCTCAGTATACTACAGCAAGAACTTGATATGCTTCATAAAAGTGAATTAACTTTTATCGTAGAACAACAAAAACAACATTTAATACAATACAACAATAACATTTAAGAAAAGTGACAATAACTGATTCAAACATATTATCATAAAACATAATAAAACTCACATAAAACTTTAACTTCTTGGAAAAAGGTCTTAGAAACTTGAGTTCTAGAAGAACTAGACATGCAGCTATATTGACCTGAATCTGTTCTTTGAATATTTTGAACAACATAATAGCTTGCGTTAAAAAAAGAAACATTATTTTTAAATATTTGATAAGTAAGATTAACATTTGCATTTGTTGTGCAGTTCAATGTAACATTTGTGCCTTCAACAGGATTTGGATCTAGATTTGTGAATGATGGAGTGTCTTGATCTAAAAATTTTAAAAACATTTACAAATTACCAGTTTTATGTTTAACCATAAATACACACATACATACATGCATGCATACAATGCAAGACTCAAAAAACTTGCATATATGACAGTAAATAACCTTGCTTATACGTTAGTGCTATCATATTAAGCAGACTAATGGGACGGTAGTTAGACAAGTCATTTCAATATATATATATATATATATATATATATATATATATATATATATATATATATATATATATATATATATACACATATATATATATATATATATATATATATATATATATATATATATACATATATATATATATATACATATATATATATATTTATATACACTAGTGGCCATAAAAAATGGACACCCCTGTTATTTTTACCATTATTCTTAGAAAAGCTGACATATCATGCATTTGGTGGATTTAAATTTTTATTTTTATATTTAAACCATGTCATCTATTATATGGCTAATAGAAAATTGCAAATCTTAATCATTTATATCAATTTTAACATAATTATGGATTATTATTGTAAATTGGTGTCTAAAATGAGTCATTGCTCTGCTAATGGGTTTCTCTAGTTAAAGGTATATTTAAACCATGTCATCTATTATATGGCTAATAGGAAATTGCAAATCTTAATCATTTATATCAATTTTAACATAATTATGGATTATTATTGTAAATTGGTGTCTAAAATGAGTCGTTGCTCTGCTAATGGGTTTCTCTAGTTAAAGGTGAATGTCTCATTATTTTTGTGCTTTTGTGAAAATTAGTCTATTTGTTGTGATGACTAATAGTTAACTACGTTATTAATTAACATTTTTATCCATAAATATTTTAAGATATAAATACAAGATCATTGTTTTGTAGTCATTTAGTTGAGTTTCAACAATTGCTGGTGAAAAGGCAACAGTGCTCTTGAAGATTCAATGTGTTTTTTAAAATTGTACTTTAATGTACAAAGGCAAAATGATATTGGTCACCTACAAAGCGATGCAAAGCTGTTACATTACGTGGAGAAGGTTATTCGTACATGGAAATTGCCAAAAAGTTGGGAAATGGAACTACAAAATTTAGAGTGAGGAAGGTGTGCGAAAGGTTTAAGGCGACCAATACCTTCAAAAATATGCCAAAAAATGGAAAAATCAAGACAACTGCCAATGATGACAGGATGATAATGAGGCTTGCACTTAAGAACCGAAAAGAAAAAACCGAAAAAAAACTTCAACTGAAATTAAAAATGATTTAGAGGCCGCCAGAGTTTCGGTTAGTTCAAGGAACAATTCACTGAATGCTTTTTGAAAATAGTTTAAAAGCAAGAAAATCCAGAAAAAAGCCATATTTAAACAAAAAACAACGAAAGAATCGTTTGATTTGGGCAAAAGAACACAAGGAATGGACAAAAGAAGACTGGGCAAGAGTTATTTGGAGAGATGAAAGCAAGATTTCCATTTTTGATTCCAAGTGATGGAATCAATTATGTGAAAAAAAGGCCCGGTGAAGATCTTTTACCTGAGTGCACATTGGTTACAATAAAGCATCCCATAAGTATAATGGTGTTGAGATGCATGACCAGAGATACTGTGGGTCGTATCCAAATTGTGGATGGTATTTTAAATGCCAAAAAATAAAAATAAAACATATTAGAAGCAAAATTACTTCTATCGATTGATAATTGGTTTGAGAGCAAAACAAAAACCTGTGAGTTCCAGCAGGACAGTGCAACATGCCACACCGCAAAATCTGTCAAAAATTGGTTTAAAGCCAAAAAGATAAACGTTTTGAAGTGGCATGGAAACAGCCCGTACCTGAATCCGATAGAAAACCTGTGGTCTCGACTGAAAAAACTTGTAAGGAAAGAAAAACCTGGGAACAAGCCACAATTAATAGAGGCCATAATCAAGTCATGGTTTCACGTGATCAGCACCGAAGGTTTGGGCAAGTTAGTGGACTTAATGCCTCGTAGGATTGCTGCAGTAATAAAAAAAAAGGGATATCCAACAAATAAATTTTTTTTTTTTTTATAAGCCATTTTTTTAATAATATGTTTTGTAAGCTGAAAAATGTAAATTTACCATAATTTGGCACTTTGTCATTAAATTGTTATATTTTTATATTAAAATTGTGAATTTTGATTAAAAGTTTTTAATTAAAAGTCAATTCAATTCAGATACAGATTTCTGAAATTTAAGAAACGATGCACTTTTGTGGTTACTTTGTGTACTTTTGCACTTTAACTTCAACAGCTTAAGTGCGAAATTACAAAATTAATTAACACGAAGTACAATAATTATGCACTTATATGCATAAGTGCGAAAGTACAATATTTATTAACACGAAGGTGTGAAAACTTAAAAAACACAAATGAAAAAAATTCAGTAAATGTAAAAAATTAATAAAATTATTTTTTCGCTATAGAGTAAAATAATAATAAACAGATTAACCTATTTGCAATTAAAAGTTTTTTTTTATAATGATAAGTCTATTATAGAATAGAAAATTGTCAAACAATGCAAACCTTACAGTCTAGCAACAAAATTATATTTTATTCAGATAAATAAAAACAACTGATTAGCGGGACCCGAAGCTTCATGCCCGAAGGCAATCATCAGCCGTTAATACAAACAAAAAACGTAAACAAACCATTACAAATTACTGTAGAAGGACTTCTGACGTTATAAACAAATCTACGTAAAAAACAAATTAAAAAACAAGAAACAAAAAGCCATTATAGTTTACTAGTCTTGTGTGTCAAATAAAGATAAGGAGTTGATTTAAAATTGCGTAGTATTTGCAAAATCAACATAACAGTAATTTTTAAATAGTTGCTACGTAAAGTTGAGCACTTTACTCAATTTGTCAACGCGATGCATAAAATAAACTTTGATTATTCAATAAAAAACATTTCAATACCGTCAGAACTAGACTTTAAACTAAAATTTATAAACAAAAGGGAACTACTCTTAAAGAAAATGAGATGGAAAACGTTCTTTTTTATTAATAACAATCCAAGAATTAAAGACAATATCAATTACACAAACTACGGAATTAAATTTCCTGTATGTCTACCGCAAATAAAAGAAATGTCATTGATGGTGCTGAAGTTTGCAAACTAATAGATATTTTCATACTGTATCGAATTGCACAGCATCATAATAAAGAAGATTTCAGCCTATATTGTGACAACAACCTTGCCATATTTAAGAACAAAAACCGCCAGCAAATGGATAAAATCAAAAAGCATATAACACATATTTTTTAAAGAAGCAATCGTCAAATCACCACTCAATCGAATTTGAAAATTGTTAAATACCTTGATGTTACATACAATCTAAATAACAATACATTTCAACCATATTTTAAACCTTATAATCAAATAAGGTACATCCACTCTTTTTCTAACCACCCTCCAAGCATATTAAAAGCAATCACTCGCAATATTGAACAAAGATTAATTTCTATATCAATTAATGAAATATTCTTCGAAAAAGGCTATTCCACTGTATATAGAGGCAATAAAAAAATCATGATACAAATCAAACCTTACCTACCAACCACAATTAATCTCAAGTAAAAATCATCAAAAAAAGCATTGTAAACGTAATATTATTTGGTATAACCCCCCATTCAGCTTAAATGTCAAAACAGAAATAGGAAACCGTTTTCTAGCCCTTATTGACTTACAATTTTCAAAAAATTCTTATTACCTTCATTTGACAAAGGGGACTAGTAAACTATAATGGCTTTTTGTATTTTGATTTGTTTTATACGTAGATTTGTTTAAAACGTCAGCAGTCATTCTACAGTAATTTTTACGTTTTTTTAACAGTTTATTTACATTTTTTGTTTGTATTAACGGCTGATGTTTGCCTTTGGGCATGAAACTTTAAGTCTCGCTAATCAGTTGTTTTTATTCATCTTAATAAAACATAATTATGCTTAATGGCAAAATAATCAGTGCTGCAACCAATAGGTAAGATGCAATCTTCTTAACTATTCTTGTCAAACAAACTATCACTTTCATCTAATCAAACCAGATTTAAACTACTCTTTCAGAAAGGGAGTAGAAAGGAAGCCTTTCTTATCTATTTTTTTAAATATTAAAAAGTTCAAAATTGTTCAAAGATGAATTGGCCAATTTTCTAAGAAACTTGTTTTGCTTTTAAAAATGTGTAATAAAAACGGTTTTAAAAATATACAAAGAAGTGCATTAATGTTTTTGAATAACATAATAACTTGTGTTAGCAATAGAAACATTATTTTTAAATATTTGATAAGTAAGATTTACAGAGGCATTTGTTGTGCAGCTAAATGTAACATTTGTGCCTTCAACAGGATTAGGATCTAGATTTGTAAAATATGGATGGATTGAAAATATGGGATCTCCGCATCCCTAAAAATTTAAAAACATTCACATGTTAGCAGTTTTCTATTTACACATAAATACACACATACCAATTTTCTAAAAAACTAGTTTTGTTTTTAAAAATGTGTAATGATAACTGTATTAAAATGTTTTAGAAATATATACAAAGAAGTGCATTAATGTTTATGAATTCGTTAACCATTGATTCCAGAACAGTTTAAAAACCTAAAAATAATTATGTCATTTGGACTCAACCACATTTCTCAGTATACTACAGCAAGAACTTGATATGCTTCATAAAAGTGAATTAACTTTTATCGTAGAACAACAAAAACAACATTTAATACAATACAACAATAACATTTAAGAAAAGTGACAATAACTGATTCAAACATATTATCATAAAACATAATAAAACTCACATAAAACTTTAACTTCTTGGAAAAAGGTCTTAGAAACTTGAGTTCTAGAAGAACTAGACATGCAGCTATATTGACCTGAATCTGTTCTTTGAATATTTTGAATAACATAATAACTTGTGTTAGCAATAGAAACATTATTTTTAAATATTTGATAAGTAAGATTAACATTTGCATTTGTTGTGCAGTTCAATGTAACATTTGTGCCTTCAACATGATTTGCTTAAAGGATTACTGCAGTAATAAAAAGAAATGGATATCCAACAAAAAATTATATATATTTTTTTTTCTTAAGCTATTTTTTTTATTATTATTACAATTTTTTTTTCCTTGTACATCAGTTCTTTGGAATTTGTTTCCTTTATCTTGCTTTCTTGATTCATATAATTTGCAATCTTTTAAGTCATCTGTCAATCGTTATTTTTCTCTATAAACTTACTCTTTTATCTTCTAGTAACTTCCAAACCTAATAGTGGTTGCTTGCAGCCAGGTCGGAAACGAAGATGTTGAAAAAAGAAAGTTTTTGTTTCTTTAAATAAAATATTTAAACTGGTAATACCTTTTTCTTACTGATCTGCCAAACAATTCTTAATTGATAGAAATAGCTGTAAAACTCACGTCTATATTTATGGAGAGGTAAAAAGACAAATTTATTCTGACTAAAAACCAAATAAAAGAGAAATGCATAAAAAATTCAGATTATTGTATACTTTCTTCAGAGTAATTTTATAAATTAGTATGTTGCAAATATATAATGAAATCAATTTTTTTAAATGACTTTAAACAAATGAGACATATATAAATGTGATTTTAATGAGCTCTTTCAGTTAAGGACACACTTCAACAACTGTATTAAAATCATTTGGTGTTACTTTCATTACAAAGACAGTAAAAAATGTTCAAGTATGAAATGTTAGAAATTTAAAAAAAATAAAAAAATCGTTAAAAAAAAAAAGTTTTTAATCAAAAACTATTTAAGTTGCAGTGTTAAATATATATGCCCCTGCGTATGGTAAAAAACTCCAAACAGAGCTGGTGTAAACAGCTGTTAATAGGGGTAATGTAATGTAATTGTAATGTTATTACCTTTTTAAATATTTTTTAATTAATAGTCCATTTTTGATGACTTGCTTAAGTAAAATTGATTGTTGAGAGGAGAGGGTTATTATACATTCATTTTTTACGGGTGTATAACAACCCTGATGTGTATTTATGTGTGCATATACAACCATTACTCTAACAACCCTCACTCTTACTACTAATCAACAATTTTAAAGAAATTTCGGTAAACAATCAACTTGAAAACTTGAAAATTGGTTCATAAATAAGTATTTCTGAAAATATCTAAATATTAATACTGTAAAAATTAAATGTTCAATGTCGTTTCGCTTTCATTTTTAAAGCAGTTGTAACTAGTTACTAGGCTTTTCTGAACTTGGAACAGCGCGTTTTTAAAATGCACGCGGTCATAAAAGAAAGATCTATCAAGCGAGTTTAAACTTTTTACCTTTAGAATTGAATTACTGTTTATTAGTTTAGAAATATTACATAAAGAATTAAGATAAATAATCATCTTTAAGATCATATTATAATTGAAGTAAGTGTAGAAATTAGTTTAGAAATTTATATATTACATTTTTATTAGAAATAAAGTAGAAAGGATCACTCCTTTGTTGTTTTTTTAAATCATTTACATTTTGTTTGTTTTAGTTTTTCTTTTTCTTATTTTTTTCTAGCAGTTTTGTTTTTATTGAGCATATCTTCTACTTTTTAGAAGGAAGATATGGTTGAGGCCTAATAGTTTTTTATGCATTTTTAATGCAACAGAAAAGTTATACTAATGCTATTTCAATAAAATTGGTTATTACTTTCTTGAAATTTCTGTGATGCTATTAAATGTTTTCGCTCTTTTAGAAAATGTAGAAAAATAAATTAAAATTTTGTGCCAACACTGACATGTCACATGTTATTGTATGTAAAGACTAAATTTTTGTTATGAGGATTACAGTTCTTATGAAAAAAAAAGTAAAGAGTATTGTTTGTATATATTAATATTTTGTTTATTTTGAAACTTTTTAAATTTCCTCATGTCATTTTTAATATTTTGCACAATTGTTGCACAATTGCAAAATTGTTTGCACAATTCAAGTTATATATGTTTATTGTTTGCATTAGTTTTTTGATAATTATGTGTATATTGTAACATGTGCTTTATAGCTGTTTTATCAATGTGTTTTTTTATGGTGATGTAACATGTTTTTTTATTGTTTGTGTATGTGTTAATATGTGTTATATAATTGTTGTTTATAAATGTGTTTAAACATGTGTATATAAGGTTAAACATATATATTGTGTTTATAGTTGGTTTATATGTATATATTATGTTATTTTCATGTTTTCAAAGTGCTGTGACTTGGTAAACGTGTAAAGCTAGATTTGTCAACCTTGCCAGTCAAGCCATGTACTTACTGCAGAGGGTTACACAGCAGTGTAATTTCAAACTGTTACTGCCTTAGGTCTAAGTGTTTTCAAGCCTTTATTAATAATTACTCTGAAAATACATAATAATGTATTTTAATAACATTTTGCGTAATGTTGTTACTTATGTTCTGCTATATATGAATGTCATGTTTCTTAAGTTATGTTATATGCATATTATATGAACTTATGGTGAATGCTATTGTTGTTGTGATGTTGTTTTTTGTAATCTTTTGAGTTGATGTACATTTGGCTTACCTTCAAGTTGTTGTCTATTGTTAAAAATAATACATAGGTAATTTCATTATTAGACCTCACTGCTTTTAATTATTTTTTAAAAATGTTTACTAATATTTTTTTCAAAGAAATAATGTTGAAGTTTTCTAAAAAGGGTTTTACAACGTTTTTTTTTTTTTTTTTCTATATTAGGAGTTTTTATCTTATTATTTTTAATGCAAATATCTATTTTTCATTATATTATTTTTTTTTTCTTTAGAACATTAGAATTGGAACAGCTACAGACTATATTGCTCCCAGCACCCAGGACCTCTTTCTGTGAGGTCCTTTAACAAATGGTGCAGTTATAATGGTATGGATGAGCCCTCTTTCAAATGGAGGGCTCATCCATATAGGGGTGCTGGGAGGCACCAAGTAAAAAATAACAACACAAAAATTTTTAATATCTTCAATTAGAGAAGATAATTACAATTTTTTTGTTGCTGTTTTTGCCTTGGTTTTTTATTTTCATTAAAAAAATATATATATTCTAAATTATGTTTGTTTTTATTTTTTTTAGTATTTGTTTAGATTATTATTTATAATTTTTATTACTTTAATTTTTGATTCACAATATAACATGGCTATTATATTGCTTCGAATATACACCATATCAGTTAATCAGTTTTGAAAAATGTACTACAGCAGTTTATTAACTGTAACAAAAATCACATTTATATTTGTAATATTTTCAAGTTATAATTTTAAACTAATTTGTTGATTTCCAGCATATTTTACTTCTTTTGATCGTTTTGAATTTAATAATTTAGTGTTTTTAACTGCTTTTAACTTATGTAAAGCTTTAATAAATTTAATCTTCTGATTTTAATGTGTAATAAATAATATAAAATATTGAAAAAAAATTAAGTAATAAAAAAGAAAAAGAAACAGATAAGTAATTTTTGATAAACTTTGTCATGTTGCTTATTATATTATTGGCATTTCAGTAATGCTGTTAAATTTTTTTTTTTCTTTAGAATTTTGAAAAATAAATTAAACTACAACTTTTGAACAGTCATTGTTTGTGAAGGTTAAATTATTTGCATGTTTTTTATACAATTTTTTTATAGTAATTATATTGAAGTTTACTAAAAAGGGTTTACAAATACTTTACTTTTTAATTTTTTTTTTTTGTCTTCTATTTTTTGTATTAACAGTACCCTTTATCATTCAAATTTTTATTATTACTATTATTTATTACTATTGGTTAATTTTTTATTTTGTGTTAAATTTTTATTTTGTGTTGAACTTAGGAATGTCGATAAAAATGGTTCTGCCTTACACTGATATGACCTATGTCAGTTGTAAATTACTCCATTGTGTTAAATAATAATTGGTAAATTTTTTTACCTCCTCATACTTATTATATTAATTTTACCGAGAAACAGCATTATATTTATAAGTTTATTTTTTGTTTAAACATCTTTTAACAGATATATTTATAAAAATGATTTTATAAAAAACTCACAATATTGTTGTATAATTTGTTTTTTTTTTAAATGAAAATTTCCTATGTAATGTTTTAAAAATTATTCTTTGTGTGTGCGCAATTTAGAGTAGTAAAAAAAAAAGATCACAATCTTCAAGATTCTTTCAAGATTTTTTGTTACTACTACCAATTAAAAGCGAAGTTTAAATGGATGATATAAGGCTAGAAGTGGCTATTAGTTTAGAAAATGATGGAAATGTTAATAAGCAAGTTGAAAATAATCGTCGCAGAAATGCAAGAAATTGGCTGAGGCGAGATGAAATTAATAATCAACAAAATGCTAGATATGCTTAACGACAAGCTGCAAATAATTTGAATCAAAATGAGGACAGTATGATTAGGCAAGTTAAAAATAATCGTCACAGAAATGTAAGAAACAGGCTGAGGCGAGATGAAATTAATAATCAACCAAACGCTAGATATGCCGCTAGACACAAAAGAATGCATTGTATAGCAAGAAGCAATGTTATTCCAGATTATAATTATTTAGGAGAAATGAATCAAATTTGTCAGCACTGCGGTGCTAAGAAATTTCCAAATAAAAAACATTTTCTATGTTGCCATAATGGTAAGGTAACTTCATTTTTACCATTTACACAAGTTTTACAGGATTTATTTACAGGGAGTTATGTAGATCGTAATGCTAATGTAAATTTTTCAAAACATATTCGAAATTATAATGCCTGTCTTTCTTTTGCTTGTTTTAAAGCAGATATAGTTCAACCAATAAATCGTGGGCCTCCATGTTTTAAAATATGTGGCCAGATTTATCATCGTGTAGGTAATCTTAGGCCAGATCAAGATATTCCACCTAATATTCTTAACTACATATTTATGATCCACTTGCAGCTGTAAATTTTAGAATGCAACAACGTGGTAATGATCTTTGTTTACGTGATTTAATGTTTCAATTGCAAACTATAATTACTGAACAAAATCCATTTGCTCTTGCATTTAAAAATAT